GGTTTAGTGTTCAGGGCTTAGGGTTTAGGGCTTAGGGTTTTAGGGTCTCAGTTTGCGGTTTAGGTCTTGCCGTTTTTTCGGGACATTCCATCCGTCCAAGCCACGTTCGCATGCCACATGTTGCAGCGGTCCAGGAGCCCCATGTGGTAGGTGCTTGGGCTTTGAAGGTGTATACAGGAACTACATTGCTACTGTTTTCTTAAAGAACCCCCAAAAAGAAAAAAGAAAAAACAGAACAAGAGCTTCCCTATGAGGGCAATATGGGGATTATTTGTTCCTTTTTGTTTTGATTCTGAAGCAAGTAGTAGATTGGGGCCTACATAGTCATCATAAAGGTGCACGGGTCCTTTCGGCCTCGCTAGTCGCTGTGGCAAAGCCCACTTTGAAGGTCCCCCAGGGTTTAGGCTTTAGGGTTTAGAGTTTAGGCTTTAGGGTTTAGGGTTTAGGGTTTAGGGTTAGGGCTCGGTTTCCTCAGCCCCAAAAGCCACTTCTGCGGAAAACCCAGACTTGAGCGACAATCCAGGAGAGGAGAGTCTTCAATTCATAAGGGAAAAGCACCCGCACCCATACCACTTGGGCGTGTTTGGTTCTCAGATGGTTTCATGAGGGTTAGGATTTGGTCTCAGACACTAGCAGGCTCGATTTGGATGTGGGTATCTAGTAGTGGTTGGCTTCTTCAAAGAGCCAGAAGAAAGCACTACTTGGGAGGTTCATCGTACTTATTAACAAATTGTAATTGTACTTAGAACTTATGACCCACTTAAAAGTCCCTGAAGTGCCCGAATATGGTTACAAGTACAGGTATAAGTACAGTTGTAATTTGTTAATAAGCACCACGAACCTCCAAGTACAGGCTCTGGGGACTTCGGATGTTGAGCGAACTTGCTGCCTCAGGTTTTTATTCATCGTAGCACTTCTCTGAATGAAGTTTCCCTTCTCCGCAAACCCCAAAGCCCAAACCCCAAACCCTAAACCCTAAACCCCAAACCCCAAACCCCAAACCCTAAACCCTAAACCCTAAACCCTAAACCCTGAACCCTAAACCTATGTTCGAGACCATGGCGAATGCCGAGCGGGCCCAGGTGAGGAGGCCGATGAAGCCGCAGCACTTCTGGAAGGCCTTTAGGGTTTAGGGTTTAGGGTTTAGGGTTTAGGGTTGGGGGTTTAGGGTTTAGGGTTTAGGGTTGACGGTTCATGGCTCAGGGTTTACGGTTTACGATGTTAGGGTTTAGGGTGTTTCCTCAACGCTGCATGTACTTATATATCCGGTACTTCGACCTGAAAGGTGCCACATAGCAACGCTAAACCCAAAACCCTAAACTTCCTCAACCCGATATTCTTTTGTAAGTACATTCGGGGGTCCCATGTAGTGATGGTAAAGGTGCCCGGACCCCTTGGGTTGTTTCACTCTCACCAGGGTTTCTGCTTCAGGGGTTTGCATGAGATGGAAGTTTCCGATCTTGGGATCAAGGTTTAGGGTTCAGGGCTAGTGCCTCGATTATCCTGGATGCCTTTCAGTGGTAGGGCTGGCTTACCCTGCTTTTAACGGCCCTCATTACACCCTAAACCCTAAACCCTAAACCCCAAACCCCAAACCCTAAACCCCAAACCCTAAACCCTAAACCCTAAACCCTAAACCCTAAACCCTAAAAAAAAAAAAAAACTAAACCCTAAACCCTAAACCCCAAACCCCAAACCCCAAACCCTAAACCCCAAACCCTAAACCCTAAACCCTAAACCCAACCTTCCTTGAGAGCGGGAGAGGCTTAGCACGGGTCTAAGATCGGGCCATGGCTTCTTCAGCGCTAAGTTAAAATGGCTTTGGGTGGCTCGGTTTAGGGTTTAAGAGTTTAAGGTTCAGGGTTTAGGGTTTAGGGCTAGGGTTCAGGGTTCAGGGTTTGGGGTTTAGGGTTTAGGGTTTGTGGTTCAGGGGTGAGGGTTTAGGGTTTAGGGGTGAGGGTTTAGGGGTGAGGGTACGGGGTTTAGGGTTTAGGGTTTAAGGTTTCAGGCTGGGTTTAGGGTTTAGGGTCTACGGTTTCGGGTTTTGGGGTTTAGGGTTTAGGGTTTGGGCTTTAGGGTTTAGGGTTTAGGGTGTGGTTTGAGGGAGGGTGCACGCTCTGTTTTGCGTTACATAAACGAGCCACAACGTGGACGCATCCATGTTGGCTTTCGTTGTGTTCTTGACGTATGTTCGCACGTGCTCTCGCTCCTTGCACGTCAGTTGTAGTTCATTGCAGGTTCGAAAGCAACTCTGCAGAAGCGAAAGCTCAGCAACGAAAATGAACTCGGTCCTCAAACCCTACACCCTAAACCCTAAATCGAATACATAGGGTTTGTACAGAGTTTAACGTTCACGGTCTACCTAGAGTGACGTACATGACCGGCCAAGATCCTACACGAGAGTTTCCCAAAGTTTGCCCACCCCTTTTTTTATATCGAAAAAAAGGAATCCTGAACAAGGACCCAACAAAAACCAAAGGACCCAAGGCATACACCCCCAAACGCAGAACCCTTCATCCCCGTGCCCCAACCTCAAACCCTAAGCCCCAAATTCGAAACTCGAAACCCTAAACCCTAACCCCAAACCCGAAGCCTAAAAACCCCTACACGGCAAACTGCGTCTTCGCGCCCCATTCAGAGGCATGCTCGAACGCCGTTGCCACCTGAGTGACCCGAGCCACATGGCCTGGAGGTGTGATTGGGGTGCAGGGCGTTAGGATTCTAGGCTTTTAGAGGTTTAGGGTGTTTAGGGATTTATGGTCTATGTTTTAGGGTTTATGAGGGCTTTTAGAGTTTTAGGGTTTTTCGGGATTTAGGGTTTGTGTGTGTTAGAGTTCAGACTTCCGGTTCGAGCATTCTCTGTCAAGCAGCTTGTCAGGCGACAGAGAATACCCACCCTTCGTAAAGACTCATTTGAGGAGAGGGGTTTGGGGTCTATGGCCGTCAATAGGGTTGCGGGTTGAGAATAGGGTTTAAATAAAGTGCAGGGCGCACGACAATGACTTGTTGTGGTATCGGTGCAGAATGCCTAAACCCCAAAACCCTGAACCCTAAACCCTAAACCCTAAGCCCGAAACCCCAAACCCTAACGGGGATTGTCGTTATCTGATCTCCTGAGTTTTAAGCTTCAGGCTTGATGTATGGCAAGCTGATCCAGACCTTCGCAAAGCAAGAGCGCGTGGAGGAGGCAGGATTAGTTTTACATCCTATACGAGCCTAACCCCCCAATTTCACGTGCAGTGGGCTGATGGCTCAGGGTTTTAGTTCAGGGTTTAGGGTTTAGTGTTCGACGGACCCGAGAAAATAGCGGGATGTGGCACCACCAGACTCGGGCTGAGTGGGCTCACATGTGAGCCTGCATCCTTCCCAAGAAACGCATTCAAGACCCTACTTTTCGCCTTGCCTGAAATGCCAGACTCACAACTCCTTCTCGAATCTCTTGCAGCAAATTCGCGCAGTCGCTGCTCAAGGGGACGGGGAGAGGGGCGTAGCTGCCACTGCTAATGAGGCTCCTAGAATCTGCTTGGACATCTCCGAGGGTGCCCTGTGTTTCTCTTCACTGTCTAGGATGCCCGGTGGCACCGGTATTCTAATGCCCCTTGTTTCGGGTGGGTTCTCTATGAACGCCCTAAGCTCCAAAATTGGCACCCTTCTGATTATTCTACCCTAAACCCTAAACCCTAAACCCCAAACATTAAACATTATTATAGAGCAACCAGGCTGTCACACGTTGTGACAGCGATTTCTGCCTGATGGATCCTGTGGCAGAGTCGACGTCTGGCCAGCAACGGACAGCCCTTCGGAAGCTGGTTGAGGTTTTCTACGAGCGTCTAGGTTGTTTTTTGGGACACTTGTTAAATTTCCTTACTAGGGTTTATAGAGGGGACCCTATCTGCAAATATTTTTTCAGAGGGTTTAAAGGCCAAGCCAGGCGTGTGTGGAACGCTTGTGACGACGATGCTCTCTTCGCGATTCTTGCACCCGACGTGCGCTTCCGCGGCTCTACTGAGGCCGTCGACCGCGTTGGGCCTGAAGCATTCAAGATGTACCTTATAGGGGTACTTGGAAATAGTTTAGGGTTTAGGGTTTAGGGTTTCGGGTTTAGGGTTTAGGGTTTAGGGTTACTAGATAAAGTGTAATTTTGCTAGGGTGCCAAGTTCAGTATAGGTACCGGGACGCAATTCACGAGAAGCTGCACAACTACACCTGCACCATCCAAGACGTCGTCGTGGATGAAACCGTCGCATTTGCTCGAGTGTGGTTCCTCTACAGTCTCCTCAGGAAGAATGTTTGTTGCAGTTGATGTTGAACCCAAAGGGAGTATTAACATAGTACTACCCCAAACCCCTGGCCCTAAACCTTAAACCCCAAACCCTAAAAGCTAAACCCTAAACCCTAAACCCCTAAACCCTAAGTCGTAAACCCTAAACCCTAAACCCTTGCTTTTTGGTGCTCTAGAGGTTCAGTGGCACGCACTCCGGCGGCCCCCTGCTCGGCGTACCTCCAACGCAGCGCCCGGTGCGATGGATTGGAGCCGCCCGCTTCGCCCTGGCCAAGGACTTAGGAGGGGTTTAGGGTTTGGGGTTTAGGGTTTAGGGTTTAGGTTTAGGGTTTAGGCCTATGCAATATTTCATATTTTGCCATTTTGGGGGTTTAGAGGAAAATGTTTCAGAGGATTTTAGGTACTTTAAGGGGCCATCCTGTAAACTTCTTGTTGGGCTTCAACCCCTTCTAAAAACCCTAACCCCTTAACCCCTTAGCCCCTTAACCCCTTAACCCCTTAACCCCCTAAACCCTAAACCCTAAACCCTGAACCCTAAACCCTAAACCCTAAACCCTAAACCCTAAACCCTAAACCCTAAATCCTAATCCAGTCAGAGGAGGGGTCGCAGATTGGCGACATCTGGGTGCTTGGCGACCTCCATTCGCTGTCGCAGCAGCTGCAGGACGAAGCTGCGGCAGAGGAGCAGCCGGAGGAGAAGTCAGCACCTGGAGCCTAGAGGTGCTTGGGGTTTAGGGTTTAGGGTTAGGGTTTAGGGTTTTGGGTTTAGGGTTTAGGGTTTAGGGTTTAGGGTTTAGGGTACGCATGTGGGGGTTGTGGTAGCCATGTATGCCCTGAACCCTGAACCCTGAAAATGAAGACGTCGTAGGCTTTTGAACAGCCTCCTCATTCGGGTTGGAGATTTGCGAGGTTGCGTTCAGAGTTCAAGGTCAAGATCTAATCCAAACACACCGCCCTCAAACAAGAAGAGCTCAATCCCAGTAAATCCTCCCCAAACCCCCTAAACCCTAAACCCTAAACCCTAAACCCTAAACCCTAAACCCTAAACCCTAAACCCTAAACCCTAAACACCCAGCTTCATAGCAGACTTAAGAGGGTGCATGCTTCATCGGCGCGGATGGTCTCTGAGAGTACCGATCCATGAGTTTAAAACCCGTATCGCCCCATGTACTAGAGTCGCTAAAGCCTAGGGTTTAGGGTTTAGGGCCTTTAGGGTTTAGGGTTTAGGGTTTAGGGTTTAGGTTTAGGGTTTAGGGTTTAGGGTTTAGGGTTTAGGGTTGACTCTGAGCGGTTGATGCACCAATACAAGCCCTATAGGCACTGGATAGCAGGAAACCCCTTCCAAACCCTGATTTCCTACATCTTACGAAGCACCGCGCAGGAGCGAATCTTAGATCTGGAGTCGGTTTATGTTACTTGTCATAGTGGCATAACCTTTTACACTTTCAAGGGCACTTAAACACAATGAGGAATAGAAGTCTAATTTTTCATGGGTACTTACTTAAACACAATAAGGAATAGAAATCTAAATCTTCAATACTATACAGGTTATGGCTTTGGGTTTAGGGTATTGAGGGTCTACGGTCGGTCGGCCTACACGGCCCATCTGCGCAGAGACTGGCCCTGTTGACAAAAGGGCGCTGGTTTTTGTAGCGGGTCTGCTTTGTGAAAGCGGTTTTGGGTATAGGGTTTATAGGGCACTACAAGCCCTTCAACCAGAAACCTTTTTGGGTGTATGTAGAGGGCCTACAAGGCTGCTTAAAGGGGATCTTTAGTTCAAATCTCAGGGCTTAAGCAAGGGGTTTGTTGTCAGGTTTAGGGGTTTGCAGATAAGGGTTATAGGCTGCCTCCAAGATCAACTCCTTCTTCCCGTTCTGTCGTATTGAATCGCCTGGGTCTTTTGGCGGTCTCCACGGCAATGACTTTGCCTAACATCACCCGTGCCAGCGGGCAGAACCCTTTGTTTATTGCAAGGTTTTTACATGTGTGTTGCATTCAGTGGATTAGTCGCTTTTTGATGTTTCTGTGGAGAATACAAAGGTTTGTTGATTCTTTTGGTGGCGTACAAACCTAAACCCTAAACCCTAAACCCTAGATTGTATGCCTAACTCCATGGCGCCCCCCCCCCCCCTCTGCTCATGACATCGCAGTTCCGAAGATATAAAGGCTTCATCCTGATGAAGCCCTACAAAGCCCTGAATCAGAAACCCGAATTGCCCTGGTTTAGGGTTTAGGGTTTAGGGTTTAGGGTTTAGGGTTTAGGGTTTAGGGTTTAGGGTTTGGGGCCCTGAACGCTAAACCCCCAAGAAAGAGAGCAACATCCTAATCCTTGACCCCTAAACCAAAACTTACCTCCAAAGACCCTAAACCCTTCCACTCCGAAGCTCTCCGAAGCCTAAATCCACCAGCAGAACAAGATCCAGGACCTCGAGTAGGTTTAGGGTTTAGGGTTTAGGGTTTAGGGTTTAGGGTTTAGGGTTTAGGGTTTAGGGTTTAGGGTTTAGGGTTTAGGGTTCCCTTATGAGACCCTTTCAACCAACAAGGGGCGCCCTTTCTATTCCTAGGTTACTCGCTCTTGGGTCACCCCGAAGCCGTAAACCCTAAACTGACTCATTCCCTGGCTGCTCTTGGGTCTAGACCTATGCGTAGTTACATGGTCCTTAATGTGGCCCTTTCCCTTCTTTAGAGGGTTCTGATATGGGCCCCTTGGGTTTATAGGGCATATAAGGGGTATAAAAGGGGTCCTCTTTTAAAGGGTCCATGTAGCCCTAAACCCTAAACCCTAGTTAACCAGTCCCCGTTTTAAGGGCCCATACTAAGAAACCATGCAACCCCCTGCAGCCCGAAGATTGGTCACCCAAACCCTGAATACCCTGAATACCCTGAACCCTGAACCCTGTTCATTCCTAGGTTACTCTGGGGATCTAGAGCTGCAGGCCGAAAAATGGATGCAGAGTATGCCGGCAGCTTCAGTCGCTCCGGACCGCTCGTGCTTCGAGCCCCCTGACCGAAGGGGGGGGGGGTTAGGGTTTAGGGGTCAGAGGTTAGGAGTTAGGGGATAAGGGTCAAGGGTTTGGGGTGTAGGGTTTGGGGTTTAGGGTTCAGGGCTGGGTGCTCAAGAAGGGGGGAGTTTTTGGGGGGCTTTGGGGCTATGGGGGTGCTTCGTTCGGGTTCTCAGAAGGTTTAGGATGAGATGGTGGGAAGGATCCATCTCTAATGGGTTCCCCTGCTACCCCCCTCTATACTACGCCCGTTTAGGGTTTAGGGTTTAGGGTTCTAGGGTTCTAGGGTTCTAGGGTTTAGGGTTTAGGGATACTATCCCCCCCCAGGTTTCCCCCATAATGAAGGCCATCTAGGGATGATCAAGGCTAATCAAGGTTATTTACGCGGGGAAACTAAACCCTAAACCCTAAACCCTAAACCCTAAACCCTAAACCCTAAACCCTAAACCCTAAACCCTAAACCCTAAACCCTAAACCCTAAACCGTAGTATGACCCATGAGTCTCGGGCAGCAGTCGGAGGCCCAAAGTCCCAAGCAGCCACCCGACAAAGCCATGCATGCCGTACATGCCTTACTGTTCTACCTTACAAAGTCCCCTAAACCCTAAACCCTAACTCTAAACCCTAAACCCCAAACCCCAAACCCTAAACCCTAAACCCTAAACCCTAAACCCTAAACCCGGAATCCGGCTAATAAGCTTGAGGTCCTTTAGGGTTCTGGGTTCGCGGGTTCCTGAAGAGACCGGCCTGCGAGGTTATGCCCCAGAACCCCGGCCACGCGACCCCAGCTCTCAGAAACACCCCACCTAAACCTCAAACGACACCCTTCATTTGGGTTCAGGGTCTAGGGTCTAGGGTCTAGGGTCTAGGGTCTAGGTTTAGGGGTTAGGGTTTAGGGTTTAGGGTTTAGAGTTTAGGGCTTAGGGTGTAGGTAGAGCATTACGCTCATGTCATTGGCCCCCTCGGAAAATCAAAGAAAGTGTTCCATGCATTCAACGTCTTTCCTGCTGGGGTGGAAAGCTGGGAAGAGTTCGCAGACGAGTACTTGATTGAAAGGCCACGAATCATCTACCGGGAGCAGAAAGACAGTTAGGGTTTTAGGGTTTAGGGTTTTGGGTTTTGGGTTTAGGGTTTAGGGTTTAGGGTTTAAGGTTTAAGGCAAGTGGACAGAGGAGGAGCTCCCTGAGAGAGTGCATGAAGCACAACCTGCTGACCAGGACTTTCAACTCAGAGCTTCTGAACTGGGTTTAGGGTTTAGGGTCTAGGGTCTAGGGTTTAGGGTTTAGGGTTTAGGGTTTAGGGTTTAGGGTTTAGGGTTTAGGGTTTAGGGTTTAGGGTCGGGACCTTCGTCGGAGCAGACTTCCACACCTACTACGCGAAGGCTGTGGAGTCTCTGTGGGCTTCAAAGCACGAGAACGGTACCGCCTCCTCACTTCCTAGGATGCCCAGTAGTACCCTTATTCCCTTTTTGGGGGGTGTAGGTTCCCTTATAAACCCCCTTAAGGCAAAAAGGGCACCCTTTTTCAGCCTAGGTTACTGGGCAGCCTAGCTTCTGAACTGTTCCCAGGTGTAGGGTTTAGGATTTCTCCAAACCCTCCAAACCCTCCAAACCCTCTAAACCCTCTAAACCCTCTAAACCCTCTAGACCCTCTAAACCCACTAAACCCTCTAAACCCTCTAAACCCTTTAAACCCCAAACCCATTTTCTCAGACCCTTTTCCGGAAACCAAGGGGCCTGGCTGGCGGCTATGCTAGGCGCGGTCGCTGGGCATCGGTTTTGCCCCAACCTGTCAGGCATCGACCCCAAATATTGCTGTCACTTCTTTGCTTCAGGGTTGGGGTTTCGGGTTTAGATTTAGAGTCTAGGCCCTAAACCCTAAACCCTAAACCCTAAACCCTAAACCCTAAACCCTAAACCCTAAACCCTAAACCCTAAACCCTAAACCCTAAACCCTAAACCCTAAACCCTAAACCCTAAACCCTAAACCCTAAACCCTAAACCCTAAACCCTAAACCCTAAACCCTAAACCCTAAACCCTAAACCCTAAACCCTAAACCCCCCTAATCCTAAACCCTGAACACTCAACCCTAAACGGTTTCGAGTCTCGGGCTGGAGTTGGTTCTGGGAGTTCGGTTGGGGGGCGGTCGGGATGCTGAGGGGCTTTCTTGGTTTTGGGAACCAGGTTTCTAACCCCCCGTAGCCCAGAAGCCCTAAACCCTCAACCCTAAACCTCAACCCTGAACCCAAAAACCCTAAACCCTAAACCTTACCCCTAAACCCTAAACCCTAAATCTAACGGGCTGTCGCCCACAGCCGGGCACGCCCACCAGCAGCAGGACAACGGCAGCAAGCACAGCAGCAACAACAACAACAACAACAACAACAACAACAACAACAACAACAACAACAACAACAACAACAACACAAACACCGTGGAGGTGTTCATGTTCAGAAACACTGTGGAGGTGCATGGCCACACTGTGGAAGTGTGCATGTACAGTTTTCACGTTCGCAAACACCGTGGAGGTGTTCATGTTCAGAAACACCGTGGAGGTGCATGGCCACACTGTGGAAGTGTGCATGTACAGCTTGCACGTTCGCAAACACCGTGGAGGTGTTCATGTGCATGATCGTCAGCACCTTACTCAGCCAACAACAACAACAACAGCAACAACAACAACAACAACAACAACAACAACAACAACAACAACAACGC